TATGTAAGGCAAGGCCGCTCACAATCACTGATGATATTCCCAACTGTGCTAGACGGGAACATGTGGGAAACCGAAGGTGGGGAGCAAGAATACAGAAATACGCTGGGCTGATAAGAAGGCTTTAAATGATCTGAACTTCAAGGATGATTTATATCTAATATCACACAATTTGAAGACTTGGAAGCGAAAATCATTAAACTGGCAGATGCAGCTGTCAGTGAAAATAGGACTTTGAGTGAACTTAAAGAAGATAGAAGTGATGGAAATAATTAACTCGCGAACAACAGTGGCAAGTACCAGTCACTACAAACTGATGAAATTCTCTCACTTCTCTAGGCAGTATCGTTTCAACTACAAGCACCACTAACGAGGATGACAAAACTGGGATCGGAAAGGCAAGAGAGTCATTTATCACTCTGAGATCACTTTGGAAATCTGCTACACTCAGAATAAACAACAAAATTCGAATTTTCCATGCCAATGTTGAATCAATCAGTCAGTAATTCTAAATGGGTCGGAAACTTGACTCACATCACACAAAAAGCATTTCTGACAGGCCACTGCAGAATTTTATCAGCATCTGCTACCATTCATTGGCTGCATAGTGGATATGAGATATCTGGTTGGAAGGAATCAGAAGCAAGAAACTTTGGGAATGAACCACTGGGTGACACTACACACCAAACCGTCGATCGAGTGGAAGGTGAATTGGAAACGACGAGTTTGGCATAGGTTCATGGTTGACATGGAGGAAATGTTGTGAGGATCAGATTAAATCTCATGGGCAACTGTGGGGTCAGCTGTAGAGAATTTCAGAGGACAGGGCACAATGAAGATGTGCCGTTGAATTGCTGTGTTCCATTAGAACCCAAAGAAATACTAATAATAATAAATGTTTTTCAGAAAACAGAGTACTTACTTAAAGTGGGACACTATTTTTAAATAACCCAGTTTAAATTTTTCACTTGAGTGATTGATAAAATTACGACAACTTTTGGGCAGTTTTCATTTCCCAAGCTAAACCTTATTTTGGATAGTTTCAGCACACTACATTTACATCTCGATAAACATCCTGAACTCTGGTAACAGTTTACTGTAACAATGACTGATATTTCAGATGCAGACAATTGATGTGCCTTTGCATTACTCTTGGTTTTATCATTGGTAAACTAAACTACCCATTAAATATTACACAAATCAAAATGTGAAGCACATCCATCAACTTGCTAAACTTTGCTTTGATCCATAGGAATCGGCTTGTCAAGATCCTGGTAATGCTAGGCATCATTAGTTAAAGATTATCGGCGCAATCGTACACAGTGATCTACAAGTGTTAACCCTTCATCATCTATAGATTTCTAAGTTCTATTTACCACTATATATTCTTTCCTCTATCTAAACGATCGTGGTCTGTTTTAATATCAGTTTGTTTTTACTCAGTTCGTTAGTTTTTTTAATTATAGCTACTTAGTGCGTCGGTGGTAGAGCAGTTAGGACGCTCGCCGACCATGCACATGGCCAGGGTTCGATCCCCGGCCACAGACGCACTCCTCTACCTCGCCAAACGAGAAATAATGCTGATAAAGAGGAAAGGTTGGGCAGGAGGCTAGCAACCCCATCCTGTAAAAATTAAACACTGCTACAGAAACTTCAAGCTACTAGCTTGAAGCCCTATGTTCCACTGAGAACCTGAAGGGAAAAAAATATAGCTACTTAGATTAGTTAACCGCCAGTAGACCACTGATGCAATATTGAACTTTATTTTATTCCATTACACAGTTTCTACCAAAATTCCTCTCAGTATCAATATCATTTATATTTCTTTGATTATTAACACTCGTCTGTAAAGCCCTTATCCCAAGTGCCAGATAAATCCACATCAACTGTTGAATACATTGTTCTAAATGAATGTTAGGAAACAGGGGAGTTAAAGGTAAATGGCTTACACTCTGACAAAGCGAAATCCTTATCACCATTGACTGAATGTGATTTTCAAGCGTTGGTCTGCAAAGATTTGATCGATTTTAACTTTGTTCATGAAATAACTTCATTTCGATAACGATCTAAAGCCAGGAAATACTGGACACCTATTTTATCTGTGCTTATGACTCTTTAGTAGCACGTACCCAATACTCTATCTATTATGGATAGGACCATGGACCATCTTGTTATGAAGCAAGCTTGCTAACCACTCAACGACTGAGACGGAATCCAGTAACCAGTTAGTGGATTCTAACTTCTGCTAATTTGCAATATATAGCATAACTACTAGTCAATAGCATTGGTGAGTATTTTCCCCCTTCATAGACGATTTGGTGAACCGCGCTGGTCACGAATTCTTACTACAATTACAGGCAGTTTAACCCGATAATCAGTCTTTAGTGAACATTAAATTAGTTTTCGAGTGTTTATTTGAGGGGATTCAACTGATTTCAGGCAACAGCCAAGGAAATACTATATATGTCCATGCTGATAAATGGGTCTTCATTCCAGTTACTGATGTCTTCATCTCCCTTCATGTGGGTAAATCAGTGATTTGATAAGGTCTTCTCATCTCATGCAAAATCATAGTGAATATGAGATGGGGACAATGTCACGTGTCAGTTGAAACGCAACAGAAAACTCAACGAAGCGATGGAAGTGAATACAGCAATAAGACAAAGCTGCCTGCCTATTATCATCAAGGATGATATTCTTAATGGTAGTAAAATGAATTATGTGTCAGACCGTGTCTAGGAGTAAGAAGGCAGAAATTTGCTGCACCGATCGATGAGAAAACTCTAGAAGATCTGGACATCACGAGTGGATGATTTATGTTAAGTGTCACTTACACAAACTCGAAGACTTGCAGATGAAAACCAACAAGTTGACTGAAAAAGCAGGCAGAGGAGACAGAACTCCAGGTGAATATGAAGAAGATGGAGGTGATGAAGATAAACCCACCGAACAAAAAGCAATAGCAACAACATTAACAACCATCAATCACGATCAATTGGGGGGGGGGAGAGATTTGACAGAGGTTACTTCCTCCCTTCACTTATCTGAACAGGAATCACAGTTTCAACCACAGGCTGGTGGAATAGATGAAGATTTCAAAGCCAGCCAGCTAGTTAGCCAGTATGGGAAAGGAAAGGCAAGATACGCCTTCATCGATTTGAAACCAGTTTGGAAATCTTCTGCACTAAACTGCACTGCACTCCGCCAGCCAGCCAGCCAGCCAGCATGAAGAACAAGATTCGGATTCTGTTCAACACAGATGTGAAGTCATTCAGTCAGTGACTTCTTCTATACGGGTTGAAAACTTGATATGAGCTTCACGAAGAGGATTTCCAACAGGTCACTGCAGATATTTATCAACAGCTGCCACCTTCACTGGTTGGCTGCACACTGAGGATCGAATGGCCAGAAAGAATCAGTAACAAAAATCTCTGCCTGGCTAGCTGGCTGGCAACAAACCGACAGGCGAGAGCAAATTACTCAACTAATTTGTGGGGCAAAATGAAGATGGTTGGGGCACACGCTGAAGAGACCATCGAATGACATCGCGCGTAGTGCAGGCCATCGCTCGAGTGGAATCCTAATAGGAAACGACGAGTGGGTCGTAGATGCGAGTATGACATCGAAGAGATCATGTTAGGAGGAGGAAGAGAGGCTGAGACATTATGTTCAGTCGTGTGGCTAGACAGCTGAAGAGGACAGCATCTAATAGAAGATGGTGGAGATGTGTTACTGAAGCTCTGTGTTCCCGTTAAAAAACCCAAGGGAATAATAATAACTCAACATAAAGAACGAGATTTGTATTTTCAACACTAATGTTAAGTCAATAAGTCAGTTATTCCATATAGGTCAGGAACTTGTCTCACACCTCACTAAAAGCATTTCTGAAAAGCCACTTCAGACTTTCATTAACAGCTGTCACCTTTTTTGGCTCCATACTGAAGATAAGATGTATGGCCAAAAATAATCACTAACAAGTGACTCTGTCAACGAACCAGTTAAGAAGCTATTGCTCGACAAACATCCTTAAGGATAGGGACATAGATCGGACACACGCTGAGGAGACCATTGAATGATACCACATGCCAGGCTACTCCTCAAGTGGGAGGTGTATGCGAAACGATCAGTAGGGTTTTCAAAGTTGATATGCGAGAAATGCAAGCTTATAGGTAACGATGTAATCAGCCTGGAGGTGACCTTAGAGCAGAGGACAAAATGGATAAGTGTTACTAAAGCCCTATATTCCACTAGGAACTCAAACCAATGACACTAGCATACCTTTCCTACTTATCTTTCGATCGATAAGTGAAGCACAAACAGAAGAAAACAATGAAAAAAAATAAAACCAAGTCAATGCAAATTACAAATTTCTTTTCTTGTTGTATATATTTGCTTGTTTGTTTGTTGTTCATTTTTTTCCATTTTTCCATGATTTCAAATGTAGGTAATATTAATAATAATAATAATAATAGTAGTAGTAGTAATAGTATTAGTACTATACAAATATCACAACTAAAAACTAACACTGTTCCTTATTGTCTTCCTGTCGTCTTTTGATGCTTCACTAACAAGTGAAAAAAACAACAAAATAAAACAAAAAAACGAACAAAAAAGAGGAGAGAAAACAAGGCAGGAAAATAATAATAATAAAATGTTTGATTGTCCATTTGCTGGTTTTGGTGGTTTTTTAAACTTTGGTAACAGGGGAACACTGGTTATAATACGTCTCTCTCTCTCTCTTTCATCTATATAGATAGTATCGTTGTTAGTTATACTAGTAATAATAATAATAGTGATAATAATAATAATGATATTATGTAATAAGTAAATAAACATAGTTTTATAATGTTTAATAAAAAAACATTGTACTTGTCATGTCAATATTTTGTGCAATAAATGTGAAAATGTTTAAAATCACTTGTATCCACTTATTCTTGGGTGTATATTGTATAGTGTTGGGGTTAAAACTATTCTATACGTGCATACACGTACACACACGGGCACGCACACACACACACACACACACGAAGGAAAAGACAACTGTTCATGGAATACATGCTGAAATGATCTTTTGTTGTCTATAAAAAGTTTTTGTAGAAGATTAGAAGTAGAAATCGATGCAGGAAAGAATTCATCTTTTGAAGGAAGGATTTGAGTTCCATATATTTATATGCATATACATATTTATATAGATATCACGATACTAAAGTATACAAACCAAAAAGAGAGCATGATCGAAAAAGGATCTGTTAGGATAGGAGAAGACAGGAGAAGAAGGAATATATAAGAATGAAAACTGATCAGAAATTAAAAGCATACTGAAACTTTCATTACTGTTGTTATGAGTAGTATTGTTATTATTATTATTATGACACGTATTATGAATATTATCGTTTCACTCATAAAATTTTAATGACTGACTAAGATGGTGGTAGACACAAAGTAACCATCACAGAAGGCGTTCACTGAAGGAAGAGGAAAAAGAAGAAGAGAGGGTCAACTACATTCATGGCGTTATGATGAATGCATCAAATAAAACCCATCGATTAAATATTAGATATATATAATATAAGATCAGTGGAAGCGACAGAGAGAGACTGGGAAACAGAGAGAAGTTAAACAGCCGAATCCGTATTCACTTTAGATTAGGAATAACGAATCGAAATGGTAAACATAAGAATATAAATGTACATATATGTATATATGTGGACTAGTTTATACACCATATTTCAACCCCCTGTTGATCTGCATATCAGAAACACCGCACTTATTTACCTTATTCTGGATAACCAGTGATTATTGTCATTATTTTTTTTGTTAGACTTGATTGAAGTAGACTTTCAAGGTGAAAGGGGAGGGGCCAACTGAGGGAGGGGAAGGCTGGGTAATAAATTTATCACGGAAATCATAAAATTGAATGAGAATTGTGTGTGTTTCTCTCTCTGTGTGTGTACATATATGGGCATCTTGTGTGTACACTTAAACAAATCACTTCTCAGGAAGCACTTCCCTTTTTCCTGTTGTTGCTGTTGATATAAAGTTACCAAGGATATCTCTATCTTTGAATATCTCTTTATACCAAAAAAGGAAGGAGTTAATAGTGGATACAAGTTGTTTTTTTCATAACTGTACCATGAATAACACCTTCAAAATGATAAGAAGAAAAGAATTCCCAATTAAGCATGGAACCTGATATCTGTTAACAACAGGGAAGATGAAACCGCCAAACAAAAAGGTACAACAGCGACACTCGACTCACCAAATAAAATCGAAGTGAAAACGAAACCAAATACAATAATCGATAAGATAGAAATCTTATAATAGAATGAATAACAATAACAATAAAAGTGGCAGGGAACAGAACTTTGTGTTGGTGGATGGCGGGAGGTGAAAAGGATGGGATGGGACGGGACATACGGACGGAATGGGAGGGGATGGGACGGGAACAAGAGATATACACATATTATATAAAATACCCTGTAGACTTAACTAACTAACTAACTAATGAAACCTAATGACTATTATCACAAAAAAGCTTCACACAATTGTCATTTTGAAGAGAGAATTTTTAAAAAAAAGAGAGAGAAAAAAGAGTAGAAATTCGATGTAATCACATAGTTTGTTTGTTTTTTTTTAATTCAGTAGTATAAAGTTTTTCTGGTGGTGCTGCTGCCAGAATTTTTCGTTTTGCTTTTATATACTACTTGATTGTCTAGAAAAAAAACGAGAAATGACGTCTTTTGTCTTACCAAATGTAAACTATTCACAAATATTTATTCTATGCATTCCAATTTGATATTCTTTACTGACGTGTATTTATTGACAAGAATTTCTCACAGCCTGTAATTCTGTGTGTGTGTGTGTGTGTGTGTGTGCGGAAGTGAATGAGTAAGGGAGTGAGTGAGTGAGTGAGTGAGGAGTGTAGTGTATGGATTCAAATCATCTTTTTTATCTCTGATTATTTTTGTTCTGACGACACGAAAGAATGAACAGAACAAGACGCTGGTGTATCAATTTCATCGGAAACAACATCTTGACCTTCATCGACCACGTGTAGAATTGCTTCATCATCAATTTCTGATGATTCTGATAAACGCAAATCATTGATTTCAGTTTTTGGTATTTCAATCGAGTAATTTGTATCGTATTCATTTGTTAAAGGTAGAGGTGATGGCTGCGCTGTTGTCGTTGTTGTTGTTGGTTCTGCGGTTGGTGTTGGTGTCAGCAGATCATCACTGTGACAATGATGTGGATGTGGATGGTGGTTATGTTTTGATAGTTTTGTAGTGGAATTAAAACGATTAGAATTATGCAATCGACTTTTAACACCTATTAGACTGTTGTCACATTCATTTTGATTATTGATATTATTGGCATTACTACTATTATTCCCTTGTGATTTGATAGATTCATCTTGTCGACAAGGTGAAATTCTTAAGGGATGTTGTCGACTTCTTTGGTTATTAGCAACTCGTCTAGCTTGTACGCATACATCTGTCATACACAGATTGATTGATCCAGTTTTAAGTTGTGGATGTCGTTGACGTATGAAAACTAAGAGAAAACAAAAAGAAGACAAACAGTAAAAGAAGATTATTGTACTATAAGAATCTAACGTGGAATAAATTATTCATTATTCAATTTAGAAAAGCTTAATATAGTGTTACATGTATGTTATTTATTATTATTATTATTGCCTTGGGTTCCGCGGGGAACATACGGATTCAACAACACATCTACACTTTCTTCTGTTTTCTGCTGTCCTCTTTAACTGTCCGGCCATACGACTGAACATAATCTCTCATCTGCTCATCCTCCTCCTCCTCCTAACATGATCTCCTGCATATCACCCTCAAACCCACGACCGACTGGTCGGTTTCCATTCACCTTGCACTCAAGCGATGCCATGCATTGCGCGCGATGTCATTCGAGAGCCACTTCAACATATGCACCCGGCCCGATCCATCTCCATATTCTCCTACATATTTGTTGGGCGACTGGCTCTCGCCTGTTGGTTTGTTCCCAACCAGCCATCCAAAGTTTCTTGTTTCTAGTTTTTTTCTGGCCGACAAACATCTGTTGATAAATGTCTATAACTTGTTGGAAATTCTTCTTGTGACATGCTGGCCAAGTTTCTGACCAATGTAGAAGGACTCACTGTCTGAATGACTGACTGACTTAACATTTGTTTTGAACAGAACCGGAATCTTGTTGTTTATGCTGGCTGGATGTCTGATTGCAGTGTAGTGCAAACTGGTTTCAGGTTGGTGAAGGCGTATCTTGACTTGCCTTTCCAATTTTGGCCGATTGGCTGGCTGGCTGTGACATCTTCATTCGTTCCGATTGGGTGTGATTGAATAGATGCTTCCTGTTAAGATAAGTGAAGGGAGGAAGTAACCTGTGTCAAATCTCTCCCGTTGATGGTGACTGGTACTGATTGTTGTTGTTGTTGTTACTGTTGGCGTTGGTTGGTGATTATGGGTATCTTCATCACCTCCATTTTCTCCATGTTCACCTGGAGTTCCACCTTTACTGCCTACTTCTTCTTCAGCCAGTTTGTTGGTTTTCGCCTGCCTGCCTGCAAGTCTTCGAGTTTGTGCAAATGACATGAAACATAAATCATCCACACGCAAAATTGTCTTCTAGAGTCTTCTTATTGGTCAGTGCGGAGTATCCTTGTCTTCTCACTTCCTGTGGGCAGTTTGACACAGACTGCAGTTTACTACAATTAAGAATACCATCGTTGGTGATAATAGGCAGGCAGCCAGTTTGTTTTGCTGGTGTATCCACTTCAATCACCTCGCTGAGTTTTCCACTGTGCATTACTTGACACACGGCACTGTCAGATGGCTATTAAATGAGACTGATAAAGACTTAAAGCACTGCACGCCGTTGCGTTGAAGTAGTTTCCAAATCACTTCTCCAGTTGGCAGTGTCGAAGGCTTTTCGAAGTTGGTTAAGTTAAGGTACAGGTTTGACTGGCATTCAATGCCTTGTTCATCATCAAACCTTACCAAAATGTATGTACATAAATATATTTGTTTCAAACAAACATTTTATGCGTTGGTTGGAAGCAGTTGAGAAGAAGATACCATGGACCTAGTTTTATGCCTTTTAGCACTAAGAGGTGTAACATGTACTTGCCATCTCTCCCACTGAGATGTGAACCTACTATTGCAGTTATAGATATTACAGCTGACCTTTTCGGGTACCAACTAACTCTGCTTTAGCACTACAATAGAGAAGTTGATTGGTAACTGGCAATTAACTATTTTCGTGTTTCCTGATCCTTATTACTGCTTACATTCCCATGGGTTCCGAGTGGAACATACACACACACACGCTGTCTCTTACATGCCAACCTCGCACTCACGCCCAACTCGTCATTTTCTATTCACCTTCCACTCCAGCGATTGTTTAAAAGAGCGGTATCACTCAACCGCATATTCAATCTGTTTCCAGTTCGTTTCCACTTTCTTTGGAATATTTACTGAGCATTTGGTGATTGATTAGCTTGTTCTTAATTCCTTCCAATCAAGCATATGATCTTCACTATGCAGCCAGAGAATGGTAGTGGCTGTTAATGAAATTCTGCATTAGTCTGTGGGAAATGCCTGTCGTGACGCATTCGCCAAGTTTCTGATGCATATAGAAAGACTGACTGATTGACTTAACACTGGTAGTGGCAATTTGAATTTCGTTGTTTATGCTGGGGTGGAGTGCAGAAGATTTCCAACCTGATTTCAGAATGATGAAGGTTTGTCTTGCTTTTCCGATTCTGGTTGGTTTTGGTGTCCTCATCTCTTTTCCACTCTATACTACCAGTGTTTAGATCCTTCGATCTGACTAGCTACCACTACTGGTTGATTTAAGTTGTATTCAGCTACTCATATCAATTAATCAGTAATATATACAGCATCATGCATTTATGCTTTCCTGCTTGATTGCCATTTATAGTGTCATATATTGTTATCATGATAATCTCGGTTTCCAAAAGAAACTGAAAGGAAATTTTATTTAGAACTGTGTAAAACGCAAGTCATGAATTAATTAACTCCTCCATTACGAATTTCGTAGAGCTAATTCACCGAGTCTATTGCATCACATCGGCAGCGATTTCCTTCAATTCAATGTGCATTTATCAGTTCACCTGCTCGTTTTGAGCTAGGTATCTCTGCCGTATCCAGCGTTTGCTTTCTATCCAAGCTTATCATCAAACACTTGCCCCTATGGTTTTGTAGAGGATAAAAAACATCTCCCGTCATAGCTCCATACCGGAACACCTCTTCGAGTCTAAACACCAAGCTAATCCACATACCAATTTCAAAGTCGTCTAGAGAATACGCGGGACTCTTGCTTAAACAGTACAAATCAAACTTCTTCAAACCGTAGACGCAATGGCAATTCACATATGTTGGATTCCGAACTCTGCATACAGAAGAAATTTTTTCATTCACTAAATCTACAATGGACCTGATTTGTCTGAATACTTGATAATTGGATTTTTGTTTTTTAATTTGTATTATTTTCTCCCCTTGCTTCCTGTTAAATTTCTACCTCGTATTATCACTATGGTTTAGTTGAATTGTATTCAATCCAGTCAATTATATTACATCACTCAGTTTCCCTATTTGATTCTACTATAAGCAGGGGTACAACTTGAGAATTATATTGCTGAAAAAGTAACTCTTCGCTGAACATCATCTCTTTTGTATGACTTAGTTTTTATATGTAGTTTAGCCGCTGATTATGACTCAAAAAGATACTTATAGTCATAGATTTTACAGATGATACAAAACGACTTGAACTAATCAAGATATCCACCTTCAGGATTTCACCATGAGCTGACATCGGTTAGAGAACCACCATTGGAAAACCATCTGGAAGTACTGGACGGCTGTTTCGTCCTAGTGCTCGAGACTTTTCATCAGTACGCACCCATCGGTGTGATCCAAACGCAGGACCTACCGGTTACAAAGCCAGAGGCTTCATAGACCATTTAGCCACTAGGACCCGATTCATCTCCCAGTCCGTGAATTCCAACTTCTGTCAATTCACGATATGACGTGACTAGCCAATGTCCTCCTCACAACTGATTCCCAATCTGGAACGAAACAGCTGTCCAAGTACTTCTTGTGACTTTCTTCATAATTCTCTAACCTATATCAGCTCGTGATGAAATCTTGTAACCAATCAATTCAAATCCCTGCAAACCAAAATCTGATTGTCCATCCTCAGTTTTACAAAGTATTATGAAAGTGAAGAGCTGAATAGTGATAATAATAATAATAATTAATTAATTAATTTCAACTAAACTCAATTGATGTGGACTGTGATAAGAGTGAAGATGTTTTCTTCCTTTCTTTTCTCACTCATAAGAATGAAACATTTATTTGCTGTGCTTTCTTTCCTGTCTCAAGTGATCATCTCTTCCACTTGATTTATTTATAAGTTTAGTCTAAAAAGAAACCTCTTCTTCTGTAGTTTTAAGTACTCCGCTGATATTTTCTTATTGAGATGACTCATTGAGATTTACCAATTCATTAAACACTGATTGAATTTCATGAATGGAATCAAATGTATAAGTGTAAGTATAGGTGAAACAAGCGAATGAATTTACGCCGTGGTTTGTCAGCTATTTTTTAGTTTGATTACCAGTGATAAACAATCACGAAATTTTTATTCATAATGATGATAATAATATGAAAATATAGTATGTGGAGAATATACAAACTTCAAAGTGATTTGTATCACCTTTTGAGACGTGGTAGAAAACCAGTGGAAACCAAGATATCTAATTAGTTTTTTTTAACCTTTACTTTCCCAGTGGAAAATAGGGCTTCAAGCTAGTGGCTCAAATTTTCTGTAGCACTGTTTAGTTTTTATAGGATGGGATTACTAGCCTCATGCCCAACCTTTCCTCTTTACCAGTATTATTTCTGGTTTAGCGAGGTAAGGGAGTGTGTTGGTCACCGGAGATCGAATCTCGGACCATGTGCATGGTTGGCGAGCGTCCTAACCTCTGTGCCACCGACTCACTATCTAATTGGTGATGCACATGAATGCATTAACGAGATTCCCACTGCCCCTATATATTATCTGGCGAAACCACAGACAAGGGAAAGAGCTTGGTAGAATTGGTGAGGAAAGAAGACCTTGTTGAGCTTGACTTAAGTAAGACTTTGTGAGGAAACATCATGGATGTGGAATAGGTGGTAGCTGGGTGCTTCGGTGTCTGGTGACAGTGATATAACACCGCTGTCATTGTTTCTCTACTTATTCAGTGAAACGGGAACGAAATGGTTTTGTGGTGTGAAGCATATACTGATATACATGGTCTAACGCTGAGTGTGTTGGTGTCATCGTTATGTCAGATAAGTCGAAGTGCAGATTAGCGTGTTTGAGTCTTGATGTGATGTGTGACCCATTATGAAAACCATGTCAGGCGGGATGTTTGACAGGAGTGCTACATCTGCCAAATGGTAACAGGTTTAGGTTTAACTTTAGAAAACTTTGCTAATAGGGTCACTGAATCTGAGTGTAAAAACTGTTGT